TAAACGAGGCATTTTTTTACAAATCATAAGTACTTGAAAGATCACACAAAAAATTTTAAATGAACAATAACTCATAGACACACTGCTATCACTACAAGAGAAAAGCTGAAATAACAAAAATAATATTACATGAAAAGTAAAAAGTTGGTCATATTACTTTTTCACTCTAAGACTTAGCTAAAAGTTAAAGAAAAACTTTTATTTTTTTGTCTCTAAATTCTTGTAGTAGTTTCAAGTTTTACAGTGTGATTTGAATTAACAATAACAACAGTATCAGCAACTGCAAAAGCAACAACAACAACAATAGTATCAACAACTGCAACAACAACATCAATAACAAACAACAACAACAATAACAGCAGCATCAACAACAACAACAACAACAAACTTTACTAAGTTACATACATGCTTTTCTAACTATCATTAAACAGTTTTAACAAGCAGTTACAAGAGAAGAGATTGCATTAAAGAACCAACCTTGAAACATTTTCCTTCTCTTGAAGTTCATCATAGAGAATGGTGTATTACTTCATATAACTACTTACATTATCATTGTTTTCATTATGTTAAGTTTACATATCAAGACTTTTCATCTAAGATGGATCGTTGTGACATTCACACTCTGATTGGTTGGCGAGGGTTTCACGTTGATCATTGATTTTTCATGTGGATTTATGAGTTAGCAATATCTTGACCATTGTTACTTTATAAATGAACAACAACGATTTGTTACTTAATTAAAAGGCGCTAAAAAATTAAAAGACATTACTTTTCCCATTCGGTTTCCAATATTACCGAGGTAATAGGTCTTAAAAAAATAAAAATAAAAAATAAAAAATTTGGTGAAATAAAATTGTTGGGATTCAAATAGGAGTTTGTTAAAACCAACTTTTCCCCCAAGCTGCTAAAATAATTGAGGTAATAGGTCATAAAAAATTAAAATGTGCTATAATGTAGTTGTTAGGATTCGAAGAGGGGGTTGATCAAAACTCATTACCTCGCTTTTCAACTCAACCGAGAGAATGGGTAGTATTTTTTTTATTAAAATGTGGTGCGCTTGTGCTTTACACCTCGATTATTTGTTGTATGAGGTGAAAGCTTTGTCATAAAAAATATCATTTTGTAGTAGTGAGTTGAACATAAGGTTTAAGATTTCACATGGTGAAGTGATCATAGCTAAATGGTCTAAATTATGTGGCTTATATATTTTAGAAGGTTCAAATGTTATTTTTGATTCATCATCAACTAGTGAAGACTTTTATGAAAAAAAAATAAGATATAGGATTTATGGTCAAGGCACGGTGGGTGCCTAAAGGTTGTTTCAGAACACAATAATGAGTTTTGCATAAGACAAGGGACAAAAATGCATGTTACCGCTGATTTGTCTTTAAGCTTCTAGGACAAGGTTGGTGCCAAAATAGCTTACCTGATAGACGGGTGTTCATTTACATGAATAAAATTTCAAAGACTTATGGTAGTTTGTAGAAGGAAACATGAAAAGTACTCTTATTCGAAGATCGACAAAGTTTTTCCTATTGCGCAAATTAAGCAAACTCAACTTCATGGAAAAGTTATGGATTGTGTCATCAATGGCTGGATATCCAAGAGGTGTGAAGGGATATAAGTTCTTGGGAGTGGAATCTAGAGGAATGAAGTTCATCGATCGTAGTTGTATTACATTCAGTGAGTCCTCATAAAGGAATAAGAATTAAGACTTAGGGATTAGGCTTTTAAAAACTATATAATGAAGAAGACTCATTTTGAGGTGTAGTTTACTACTATGGAAACTAGTATTAGTGAATGAACGATTACAAAGGCCTGTGATTATTATTTGACTCGTGATAGTGTAAGGACGTAGGCTTTACCAACTCAATGGGACAATTATGATGGCATAGGGTGTTATGCTTTGAATGTGGTTGAAGGGTTGCAAAACTTACAAAAAATATTCTTCAAAGAGGCATTAAAAAAAGAAAGTCAAATATGATTGAAGAACCATGCTTGTGGGCTTGTTAGATTACCTAATCAAGAAAATGTGATTGAAAGCAAGTGGATGCAAGTGGCAAGATAAAGGTTCAAGTGAGACTTAAACTTGATTAAAGTTGTCTAAATAGTGATTCAGCATGGTAGAAAACATCAAAGTGGTTGATGAATAAATTGGTGAAATTGTTGAAATATACATTAAAACATTGAGTGATGAAGGGAACGAAAACACATTTTTTGGTATTGTTGACTTTTGGTCCAAAGCCAACATCCTATCAACAGTTCACAAATAACTTGGTCAATATTTGATTTAGTCGGCGCTCAATGGTTGACTTAGTCAATTGTCAATAGCTTGACTAATCAATGATTCAGTTGGCTCATAGGATGACTTGGATGGTTCACACGTATCATACTTGATAATTTCGAAAATACAAAAAGATATGTTAAGATATTCTAAATTAATATAAAAATATTATAAAATATTTATATTCATTTTTATTATAACAATTAATAAACTGTGTTTTCAGCTCATTAAAAATTTGTTAAATTTCAAAATATTTATAAATATATATCTTTATCATTCTTTTAAGGATAATCTTCTATCGTTGAACTAGTTCTTCATAACGTGCTCAACACGACAACTCGAACTCGGATCGATCTTCAATTCGATTCTCCCCAACAACTTGAAGTCTTCAATGTTTGATTTTTCAAACTAATAACTTAGAAACAACTATTTTAGACGGATCAAACTATAAAAATTTGTAAGAGTGAGTAGTATAACACTAGGGTTAGGATGACAGCTCTGACATCGGAAAAGATTGCAAGAGTCCATCATTGCTCATAATTGTCTTCATAACTTTTGTTTCCATAAAACAGATATATAAAACCTTAAAATCAGACCTTAAGTTACATGATTTATATTCTAGTACCTCTTATTTATTCTTCTTTTATTTATGAGCTTTAGAATATTTGTAAATACCACTCCTAATCGGTTGCAACTCAGAACATCCATCAGTTTGCAAACCATCCGGTCATTAAAGTAACTCGGTTCTCCACCTTAGATGAACTATATTTTCAACCTAATTAACATCAATTTAGCATGTTAATATAAGATGTCGCGTAGAAAAAATAAATGTATTTAAAACGTTTCTGTAGTGTTAAAATACACATTTGTTTAGAACAAATTGTCGAATACATTTCCTTTTCTTTAAAGCGTTACATGCACGAGGCAGATCGAAAAACATGATGTCAACTAATATGTCAAGTAATGAAGACTCAAAGAAAATATCAATTACAGTGAGGGAAGAACACCACTAACATATCCATCTAATGAAAGTTCGTTGAAAATACCTATCAACTTCCTAACAATTGTTTTAATATTTTCACTATTATAATATTAGAGTTTAATTTAATTCAATTTTTTAAGATTGGTTTATAGGATGAAAATTGTTCATACTTATAGATATATATTTAAGTTATATATTATTTAATGTATGATTCTTAACACTCTTTCACGTTCAAAATTGAACAACTAAAACGTAAAAATAAATGGTGGATAGTCCGATAAGAAAAACCTAATAGTAGATAATTCATTTTTTTTTCATATTCATTAAAGTCAACCATAAAAGTCTAAAAAAATGTTTGACCACTAATTTAAGATTTATATATTTTCCAACATGTAGAAATTGATATACAACTTGAGTTTTTATATATATATATATATATATATATATATATATATATATATATATATATATATATATATATATATATATATATATATATATATATATATATATATATATATATATATATATATATATATATATATATATATATATATATATATATATATATATATATATATATATATATATATATATATTCACTACAAGTACTCTATAAGACTTATCAAATAAAAAGTAGATGAATTGTGTTAAGTAACAATATCACAGATATACAGCAGTACAATTGTGGTTCCTTGAAACTTCCAATGAAAAATCACCATCATTTGAAATTGAAAGTCTTCCCTAAGTCATTCTTAATATACCCCACTAATTTATTCTTGATATATTAATTGGACATGTATCTTCAACTAGAAAAATATTGACACAAGTTAAAGGAAGAGTTATTTAATGATGGTTTGAAGGAGTTTCACATAGTTGAAATATTAAAAATATAAAACGGATATTTTTGCATTTTTAAATAATAATTAATTTTTTATAAACAATTATATATTAATAAAAGTACAAGAGATACTCAAATTAAATAATACCAATAACTCTTATAATTCGGTATTATAATGGATAATGATTCTTATCTTCTATAAAAAAAAATTATAAAATGTCATCTGATTATGTTTTGGAATACTTTGACAACAATTATAAAAATATGATAGCATTTTGAGCATAACTCAACTTAGTTGTTATTTTATTTATCTTTATAAATTAAAATATAATAAACTAAAAATTATATAAATAATATCGACAAAATTGTATAATATTAAAAATAATTAATTAATATAATATTAAAAATTAAAATAGACTATTAGTTTTAAAATATATTTTTATAATATGTAAATTATTTTATAGTAAGAAGACTAATAAAACATACAACTTAGTTTCTTAGTTAGTTAAAATTTATTAGTTTGTTAATATTCTACAAGCTCTCTCTATAGTATCTCATTATGTAACTATTTTGATCCTTTCAATAATTTACATATTTCAATATAATATATTTATTTTTCATTTCTATTTTATATTTTTTTAATATTTCTTTAATTCATGAAAGTAATACACAATGTCACTATTTTTTTTATATTAATTCTTTGAAATTGATGTTATGACGTGGCATTTATCTATCTACATCTTAATATATAGGTTTGAAACTTCCTATATTATGATTCATATATAGGAAAGTCACCATGAAGCTGCAGAGTTAGCTGGCTGAGTGTGAATGTTATATATAGGTAGAATCATCATCATACTTATTTTCATATCATCAGTAGTAACAATAACAAAATGACAGAGAGAAATCCAATAGCAGCAAATTCATCATCACCTGACAGTGATTTTAGCAACCAGCAATGGTCTTTTGATGAACTCTCTGACTACTTGAGTTTTGCAGACATTGATTGGCAACAAGTTGATCCTACCACTTATAATCAGTCTTTTGTTTATCAACCCAATGATGTAGCAGGTGGCAGCAACAACGTTGACGGGTCTTCTACTTCTAATCATACCGGTAAGCAAATTTCAGGCTCCATTTGGATTAACTTATAAACAACTTATTTGTATTTATCTACATGCAAAAACACTTGTCTGTAGCACTATTGTCTCTAGGTTATAGTATTTTATGGTGTTGTTGTGTTTTAGGTGATGCAAATGCTACTATGAGTGGAACAGCCCTAACACAAGGTACATGTTGGAAGAATGAAGTTAAGCATAGAGTTGCGTTCAAAATAATGACAGAGATTGAAATACTAGATGATGGTTATAGATGGAGAAAATATGGAAAGAAAATGGTCAAGGACAGCCCTAATCCAAGGTATAATAATTAATATATACCTTATGATTAATTTATAGCATATAGTTTATATATCATTATAAGTATGTATATGTGTGATTGCAGGAATTATTATAGATGTTCTGTGGAGGGATGTCATGTGAAAAAGAGAGTTGAGAGGGATAAGGATGATTCGAGATATGTCATAACAACCTATGAAGGCATGCACACACACCCAACTTCTTCATAGCTAGCTCCAAATATTATACTACGAGAAACATTTCATGGTCATAATGTTGCATGTGCTCTAAATCTAATGTTATTAGCTATTCAACAACAAAATTAGATTCTCTCTCGTTCAACTTCGATCTAAAAATCGATGGAAAATTAAAACACAATAATATATTAAAAATTGTGTTTTGTCCGAATAAAGAGATCAGAACTCCAAGATGTTGTCTTTGTACAAAAAAACAGTTAAAGGGATTTATAAGTTCAAAAAAGCTGTATAATATAGTTAAAGGGATTTAAAGGGTCATTTTGTAAAAAAGTTAGATTTAAATTTTATATAGTTAGACAGAATTATCTAATGTTAGGAAGTTCATTTTAGGATAACAAATTATGTATATTATTACTTCTTATTAATATAGTGGAGTCCTAGTTTGAGAAAGTTTGTGTCATATTTTTTGTAATGTATAATTTAAATTGTTACCATAGTTCATTGAAAGTGGTTAAATTAATTGCCAACAAATTGGTAGAACTAGTGGAGTACTAGTTTGAAAAAGTTTGTGTAATATTTTTTGTAATATATAATTCAAATTGTTACCATAGTTCATTCTTCTAGAAGAAGAAACTGTTAAAATTATATTAATAATGATTAATTAAATCATACATGTTCAAAAAATTATAATATATCATTTAGGCGCGGAAATCAAGCATGTATAAAATTAAAAGATAGATAAATTGACTTTTGAATACCTAGATCCAATGAAAAAAATTTCTTTGATGGTAATCTTAAAACCCAGAAGTTGATGGCTTTTGTGGTTCTTCCTCAATCTCATTAATCGGTACTCCTTATGCCACGAATTCTCTTTAGATGGAAAGAAGAGATAATTTGTTTGTGTACGGTATACAGGGGACCATAGCCTATATGTAGTATGATGGTCAATTATGGTTCTCATTATTCGTCATCCTGACATCCACTCATATTTGAGCCTATATTTAATATATAATTAGTTAATTAAATAATTTCTAAATAAAATCTAATCAGTCTTTTAACACTATTTGATCAATTAATTATTTAAGGCACTTAATTAATAAAATAGCTAATATAATTAAATAAATATATTTGACCACATAATTATTAGAATACTAATGTAATACTAAATTATTAAAATACTTCAACAATCACTCACTTGATCAATATATCTTAATAATTATATCATAATTCTTTAGCCTCCCATCTGAATGTTATTTATCTTTAAATTTTAACTTTACAATCTGTTTCACCTCATACATCAATAATGGGATCACTGCGGCTGTCGTCATTGACGTGTAATGTGACGGAACCCCGACGGCCGCTATATCAATTTACTTGACGACATAGATCGATATGGATGAGTGACATGGAAATTTCATGCAATGCGATCTCTAAATCATGCATATTTTCAACTGGTTCTACTAAAGTCTTTAGTGAGATCAAACTGAAGTTCCTTAGGTGCAATTAGAAATCATATTATTTGCACATAACAAAAACTTTGATATTGTTATAACAATAGTAACTCATAAGTTTTTATTTCTGCAGAAAATCAAACATAACATAAAGTTTGTACCAAAATAAAATCAAAGCATAGAACATAGGAAAAATAAGGAAAAAAAAAACCCCACTAATCTAAGGCAATCTCAAAATCAAGACCAATATGAGCAACATGCCCATGAGAAGGCTTAGGTGTTAAACCTTTGGTTAGTGGATCAGATAGCATTAAGTCAGACCCTATATGTTCTATCAAAATTTATTTCTCTTGAACTCTTTCTTTCACAACAAGATACTTGATATCGATATTTTGACTTTGTAGAACTCATATTATTGTTGGAGTGGAGCACAACTGCATTATTATCAGAATAAACCTTCAAGGATCTTTAAATGCTCCCAACCATGTGTAGGCTTGTGACAAAGTTTTGTAACTAAATTGCATGATTTGATGCCTCAAAACAAGGCACAAACTTTGCTGCCATGGTGGAGGGAGCCACTAAAGTCTATTTAAAAGAATTCTAGGAAATGGCTCCCTATCCAAGAGAAAGATGTAACCAGATGTGGAACGTCTGCTATTCGGGCATCCTATAAAATCTGAGTCAGAATACCCAATGATCTCCAAGTTATCTAACTTCTGATAAGTGAGTATGAAGTCTCTTGTTCTCTTTAAGTAGCACATTACACGCTTTACTGCTATCTAGTGCTGCATATCAGGATTGCTTAGATATCTGCCAAGAACTCCTACAATGAATGTTAAGTCGGAGCAAGTGCAAACTTAAGCATACATAAGACTTCCCACAACTGAAGCATATGTAACCTTATGCATTCTTCCTTTTCAAGATCCATAATGGGGCACTGTTTGAGATAAAACTTGTATCCTTTAACAATAGGTGTGTCTTCTGTTTTACTATCTTTCATGGAAAATCTATCCAGAACTGTATCAATATAGCTCCTTTGTGACAATCCTAAAGTACCTCGAGAACGGTCTCTAAGTATTTGAATTCTTAATACAAATGAGGCGTCCCCAAGATCTTTTATCTCAAATTTATTTGTGAGAAATCTCTTGGTTTCGTGCAATAAGCCTATATTATTGCTTGCCAAAAAGATATCATATACATATAGTACCAAGAAAATGAATTTACTCCCATTGAACTTTTGGCATACACAATTATCAACCAAATTAGCCTCAAAACTAAATAAGGATAGTACTTGATGAAATTTGTAATACCATTGATGTGAAGCCTGTTTAAGGCCATAGATGGATTTTGAGTTTGAAAACCATGAGCTTTGGGTCTTATGGCATAAAGTTTTATGGTTGCACCATATATATTGTCTCTTCAATGTTTCCATTTATAAAAGCACTCTTTACGTCCATCTTATGCAACTCTAAATCAAAATGAGCTACCAATGCCATCATGATCCTAAGAGATTCCTTCGAAGAAACTGGAGAGAAAGTCTATTTATAATCAGTTCCTTCCTTTTGAGTAAAGCCTTTTGCGACAAGAAAAGCTTTATATCTCTCAATGTTACCCTTTGAATCCCTTTTGGTTTTAAATATTCATTTACAACCGATGGGTTTCTTTCATTCAAGTAATTTAACGAGATCCTAAACATCATTGTCAACTATCGACTTCATCTCATCCTTCATGGCATCAACCCACTTAAGAGAGTTTGGACTCTGCATAGCTTGACTAAAGTTGATAGGATCTTCCTCAGTCAAGCCAATGTCATTCTCATGTTCCTGAAGAAATACAACATAATCATATGAAATTGCACTCTTCCGCTCTCTAGTGGATCTTCTTAATGGTGGCTCTTGAGGTAGTTGAGTTTGAACTATAGGTGGTGCTTGAGGAAGAAACTCAATATTGTCTTGTTCTTGAGGGATGTTAGGAATAACATTGTTATTTGTTTCAGGATCTATTTCTGGAACAAAGATAAGTACAAAGACTTGACCATTGTGAGAAACAGTTTCTTCAGCAAAAATTGTTCTAATGATGGGATTGTAAAATTTGTACCCGTAAAAGCATTCAACGTATCCAATAAAATAACAGCTAATTATCTTTGCATCCAACTTACCCTCCTGAGGCCTGTAAGGCCTCGCTTTAGCTGGACATCTCCAAATGTGCAGGTGTCTAATGCTGGAATTTTCCCAGTCCAGAGCTCATAAGGGGTCTTAGCTACTACTTTACTAGGTACTTTATTAAGGATATAAACGGTGGTCTTTAATGCTTCTCCCCAAAATGACTCTAGAAGAAAAGAATGATTAATCATACTCATTACCATGTCCTTAAGAATCAGGTTTCATCATTCTACAACTCCATTCATGTTGAATTTTCCCAGCATTGTGTATTTCCGAATAATTCCACACTTATCAAGGAAAAGCGCTAAGGGCTCTGGATGTTGTTCCCCTCATCCATCATACCGACCATAGTATTCACCACCACGGTCACATTTGATAGCTTTTATTTTCTTTCCAAGTTGAAGTTTGACTTCATCTTTGAATGACTTGAACACGTCCAAGTAGGGATGGCAAAAAATCTCGTGCCCGCGGGTATCCGCGGATATAATTCGTCACGGATACAATGTGGATAGCTTAATGGATATCCATGGATAAAATAAATGGATATTTAAATATCCTTTATTTAATGGATGTGGATGCGGGTTTAATGATACCCGTACCCGCGGATATCCATACTCGTTAATAAATTATAAAAAGTATTTAAATATTTTTAATTTATTATAGACGTCATTACATCTTCCAAGAAATTTAGTCTTTTCATATTTCTTTTTTTTAACGTTTTGTAATGATTGATGAAAACTATTTGCATTATTACTTTTTGTTTTATTTAAACAATTATTATATGGTATGATGAATTTTATTTTGTTAAAAATGAAATGTATGGATATTATGTTTGAATGTTATTATGTTTTAGTGAAAAAAGAATGAAAATAATATGATGAAGTTTAGTTGTTAAATTGAGAGTGAAAAAATATATTTTTAAAAAATAATTTTAGACAAAAAAAAGTTATTCATGGATATCTGTAAATATCCGCGGATACCTTAAAACCCGTAGATTACCCGCTTAACTGATATCCGCATGGATATGGGGCAGATACAAATATCATATTTATCCAACGGGGCAGACACAGATATCATACTATCCGCCCCCATGGATATCCATTTACATCCCTACGTCCAAGGATTGACATTTAGCATGAATCAAATATAGGTATCCATATCTCGAGTAATCATTCATGAACATAATAAAATATAGTTGTCCATTTTAAGAACCTATAAGGAAAGAACCATATATATAGTTATGAATTAGTTCTAAGACATCCTTAGCTCTTTCAGCATGGAAATTTCTCTTGTTTGTCAGCTTACTCTTGATACATCGAATGCATACTTGAAAGTCCGACAAATCAAGGGATCTAAGAATATTGCCCGACATAAGCCTTTGAATTCATTGTTTAGATATATTTCCTAATCGCTTATTCAA